ACAGCATTGCAGCAGCTTATTCAGCCCCTACTTGAGGCATTAATACTTGCGGATAGGCTGTGGAGTTTGGAAAGCTGTTCGGAGGTTGGATATGCATCACTTGTGAGGCTATTTGACCCTTTCCAATCACCGAGATGTATGGCGCTTGTGGCTGTGAAAAAGACTGTCTGATGGAGTTTTCATGAATGTTTAAGTTTGTAGAGGACTATTTTCGAAATGACCCCATTTGAGTACTTATTAATAAAACAATTTACCCATTTTGATATTTTGTTTTGAAATTGCTATAAATGTACCCCCCCCCCACCCTTGGGGGAAGCTGAAGTCAAAGTTTAAGGGCTAATGATAAATACCATAATGCCTGCCATTTGAAATAAATATTTTGTTTTGCAACCAAGATTAGCTATAATAAAATCTGTCATGGGTCGTCTTATGCCATAAGGAGGCTATCTACTCTCAAGCAGACACATCCTTTGATGTGAAATCGATACTACACACACTAGCACATTTTGAAAAGAATACGCAATCGATTTTTTGTGAGCTTCAGATACAGTCCATTACCGATAAGCACGTGAACTAGATTACTTGACACCAGAGGGAAAACGCCTTTACTCGCTCACCTCGCAGGATATTCCAATCGCTGAAGTTCCTTAGATAGACAAACGAGGCAAAATTGACGATAGGGCAAATGCAGTCAAGTCTGGAGTGATTAGACACTTATAGTCTGTATACCACATGTCTAATTACCAGGAGGAAGAGGAGATGCAAAATTCTCACCTGCCGGGTGAAGAGCTTCCATGTGTTTTATTATTAAGGACTAAGGCAGATCTCAATATGACCAATTTCTAGTGAGCAATCCTATGTTAAAATTATTTCACCTAATATCACCCATCCTCCCTCGAATGTTAGAAATGACAAATAGATCGAGACACTGCTTTCGGGTGTTGTGAACATTAGCTCCTTCAGGCCAACGGGGATCGTAAATTCTATTTCAAATACGGACGACATGCACTTTATTTTCTCTGACCCAGGGCGTTAAAGAGTACATACAAATATTAGCCCTACCGAGACTCGGGTAAAAAGCAGAAGGAATAAAAGAACGAGTTTTTTTCTCATACAAAAGCTTACAATTACATAAGGAGAATACACGCGTGTAAAATATTTTGTCTCATGTGTCAAGTGTCAGAGTACATGGGTTGTCGTGGTTACAAATGTTTAACTATACAAAGAAGAAGAAGAAGAGTGCAGTGAAAAACTTAGAGATCCTTTCGTTCCGCCTTCCGGTCAACTCTAAAACGAAAGTCAGTGCTAAATGAAATAGTAAAACGGAAGTATGCGATTATCATTAAAATGAAAAGAAAGACAACTAAGAGAGTACCGTTTGGAAAAAAGGAGTTTTACAATCTACAAACTCCAAGCCATCTTTACCCTAATAAGGAATAATTAAAAATGAAAAGAGTGTAAAACGTTTCAGCGGCTCTCTACATACAAAATAAGAAATCTCGTATTTCATAAACAGCTCAGTTTGTGCTCAAACAAAGTGAAGGAAACAACTCTGAAGTTTATGTTCCTTTTAGACAAATTATTCAACATAATTTTGTGCAAGCAAATAAAATTCATTTTATTGTCTAGGATAGTAATGTCCAACTCCAAAACAGACGGAGTTTCTTTGATCAAGGCCTGGTTGCCTGAAAGGCAACTAAATCCACCATTGAACTAGCTTTAATACAATTATCAGACTCAGAGGTTAATGCAAGCCCAAGTTACACGGAGGCTTTTAAGGAAGCTGATGTGTTCTAGCCACAAAGATTAAATAGATACTTGTTTATGAAAAGTGAATAGATAGATTGATGAAATATGGTACCAGGAGCACCACAACAATCGTAATGTGCATTATAAGCAGTCAACTCACTCCTCTTCCCGCTCCTCTTCGCTTTCGGGGTCATTTTCGAAGGTTTCGAGGAAATTGTCGTTGATATCCACGAACTGGACGCTGGGCGCATGAGCAAGCTGCTTTAAATTGTCATGAATTGTCGACTTAAGCGCATCCACATACTGAAATGAGGAATAAATTAAGTGTAAGTAAATAACGAAAAGCAAAGCCAAAAGCAAAATTCGAATTAACGAAGACCAAAACACAAAATGAAAGGACACAGGAAGAGCCATCTGTCATGAAAAAGCTCAAAGATTACAAAATCCCACTAGACAAGAAGCAAAAAAACGAAAAAGGTGCAACAATTGTTCATAATTCTAAATCATTTAGCGAATGATAAAAATAACAAATAAAACAACCACGTTAGCTAATTAGATTATGGTGACTATAACTACTTTTAAATACCCTAAGTCGAGTTCTCAAGTACTGTTTAGATCAGTATTCGGCTGAACAATTAGACTATGTACACTATATGTTATATTCTAGAGTAGACTAGCAAAAAAAGAAAAGGTCAAAGTAACTTGCCGATTTAGTGTTGGCATTCTCCAATTTAGTATTCAGATCAGGATGCAGAGTATAGTCAGGAGCAAAGTATTCAATGTACTCAGAGTATGGCAGTTCATCAGAAATGTTATCTTCCCTGTCCAACAACACAGCGGTTTCATAGGCCCAACATCTAGCCACATTTCGGACAGTATAGCCACCCCCACCCAAAACAAGAGTAGGAATGCCTAGAGCCCGTACGCAGCGGACACAACGTCCATGTCCACGAATGGACAGATTAAAGACACCAAGTCTGTCACAACCAAGAGAATCAGCCCCACATTGCAGTACGATGGCGGTTGGTCGATAGAACTGAACTACTTCTGTAATCACGGATTTAAACGTACTAAAGTACATATCGTCATCAATTCCTTCTTTGAGCGGAACGTTTACTGAATAGTACTTGCCCGATTCAGCCCCAACTTCGTACATGTCACCTACAAGCAATCAATTATATGTCCAATTTAAATCAGTCACATACCTGTACCGGGAAAGAAATAATTCCCAAATCTATGAAAAGACACTGTCATGACACGATCTGTCAAGTAAAAGGCCTCCTGAACTCCATCACCATGGTGTACATCGATGTCAATATACAGAACACGAGGATGGTATCTATTAAAAAGTTATATTTAAGGCTTTAAATAATGTTCTCACTTTAAGAGCTGAAGAATAGCTATTACGATATCATTAACATAGCAGAACCCGGAAGCCTCAAACTTCTTGGCGTGATGAAAACCACCAGCCCAATTAATAGCGATATCTGTGTACTGAAAGAGGGCTTAGAATCCAAGACGTAGTCACTTACACCATCGTTAAGATATCTTGCCCCCATAAGAGAAGCACCAGTATATAGAGAGCAGAAGTTGTAAATGCCATCAAATATAGGACTAAGAAAATAGGGAAGATTAAAGGAACATACCAATCTTCACCAACATTATATCCGAGTAACTTGTCTTTAGGAAATTCAGAAACATTGGAAGGCTTGACGTCACGAAGAAACTCCATATATTCTGCAGTATGAAAGGTCATCATATCTTTCATACTGGCTTTTGGAGCTTTATATATCTACATACATTATCGCCAAACAAGTTCAGACCTTCATATCTTGTGTAAGACCATATCCAAGGATAAGTGTATGTGCCAATGTGAGGCGATGCGGCTTCATTGGGTGATTAGGACCATAGTGAAAGTTGCCTGTATCTGCATCATAAAAATAAACCACTCGCTTCTTCCCCATTATTGGGTAATGGATATTTTTCAAGGGAGACACGCACTACTAACAAATTTAAACGAATATTTAGACAAAAGAAACGCAAAAGATTTTAAGCAATGCTATATATTGAATTAAAGAAAAAAGAAAAATTATTTATTTAAAACTATTTACTCTTCCGAACTGCTTGTATAAATGTTAATGATAAATATTTATTCATTAATAAAAAATTATAATTAGTCATATTGTTTATTTTTAACTTTTGCATTTGCCTTAAAGTGTGTGAAAATTCGAGTGCTTCTTGTAACAGGTAGCCCAAGTAGCTATTTAAAGATGTTGCCAGTTCTTTCGAGGACTTTGTCAGTAAATGCCTTATCTTCAAGTATTTCTCGTCAATTTAGCGTCAATTTATTTTGGGTACGATTTATACTTTAAAATCATTATGTAATAGCACCGGGATTCTGTGAAAAATAGTCGCAACGTTAAATTCGAATTTACGCCAGATAATTTGAAGCGTCTTGAGGAGTTGAAAACTCATTATCCTGTCGGTTATCACGCTTCCCTTATTATGCCTGCTTTGGATATTGCTCAAAGGCAACATGGATGGCTTCCTATTTCAGCGTTGTCGAAAGTTGCCGAATATCTAAATGTTCCAGAAATGCGAGTGTTTGAGGTGGCAACTTTCTACACCATGTTCAACAGGTTCGCTTTAATTGCTGTATTGCATTAAAATTCGTTCAGAAGTCCAATTGGAAAGTACCACTTACAACTTTGCACAACTACTCCTTGTATGCTAGGTGGTGTTGGTTCTGATGCGATTTTAGAAGCAATCGAAAAGCATCTTGGAATTAAGACTGGTGAAACCACGTCCGATAATCTTTTTACTCTTAGCCAAGTTGAGTGCCTTGGAGCATGTGTTAATGCTCCAATGATGCAGATCAATGATGATTACTATGTAGGTTTTTATCCTTCTGCACTTTGTTTTTTTATTCCGTACTGAATAGGTATTTCTCCCTCTATTGTAGGAGGATTTGACTCCTGTAGATGTCGTTAAGATTCTTGATGATCTTAAGGCTGGTAAGAAACCGAAACACGGCCCCCAGTACGTTTAATTTCTTTCCATGATTTTTAAGGATATCAATAAGGTTCATTTATAAGTATTATCCTTCAGGTCAGGACAAGGACATCGTTGCTGTTGCGAACCAAAAGGTGGCTTCACCTCTTTGAATACTCCAATCCCCCCTCCGGATTTCAAACTTCAGGACGCTTTGAAATAGACAAAAACTCACTATTTCCTTCGCAGTTATATATTGTAGCATCATAAATGTATTAATTTGTTATCAATTTTCAGTTCTTTTTTGCTCATTGAACTGTGCTACTCACTTAGGCAACCCTCTCATTTGGCATTCGCTGTTTTACTAATTCTATATTTGCTTTTCGAGTAGCTTCTAGATTGCTATTTTGACAGTTGCGTTTGATTGAGATTACACATTTGCAACTGGTTTCCCTATTTTCGGGACTTGTGTGTAGTGTTTTACTTAGCCTCTTCCATATTCGAGCTCCTAAGATAGTTTAAGTTCAATTTTAAATTCACAAAGTCATTTTATTGATGAGTGGCGACTACATTATTACTAGTTATAAACGGTCTGTTGGCATCGCTACAGCCAATGGCAACTGTGTGCTTTAAGCTTATAATTCGTGTGCTTTTGGCTATCCATAAGGGTTATTTTCAAACTTTTATGCCTGCTCCTCTTTCTGATGTTCAATTTTGCTACATGGCTTGAACGAATGAAACAGACCTTTTCATTTTATATCTGTTCACTTGGGGAATGTGCTGTACAACCATCAACTTGCAAAGAAGAGGAGTAATGACACTTCGCTCCAGATTTTTGCCGATTGCCATCCTAAGGCTGCTCCTGTCACTCTTCTTTACTTCAGGGTGGAAAGAGAAGGCCATTTCCACCATCGTGTTTTAATGCCAGGTGTCTTGGAAGAGTGGGCAAACCGAGGAACGTCATAGAGTGGTTCTAGCGGTTGGGGAAGTGGCGCTTGCTAAGGAGGAGCATATAGAATTGCGAATTTCCAATAACCTAGTTGCATCAGATCGATTGCTGATGTTCGAAATGTCTGGTCAAGCTGACCCCGTAGGATGGTGACGCCTAGGGTCTCGTTTTGGTGCAGCTCAGATTCTTAATCGCATAGAAAGCTCAAATTTAATGCCGAATTATTAGTTCGGTTTGACCAATATTTAAAAATTGGGGGCGAAATTTTAGTTAGAAAAAAATCAATGCCTCAAATTCGAATATCTCTAGAATGAGCTAAAGAAATCGGTTGAGTAGAGTCTGAGTAGACATCGCAGAGCACATGCCTAACCTGGCGTGTCAGGGTGGCAAGAGTTAATGTACTCATATGTGGTGTCAGTGATCAACGGTTAAGGGTCCAATCGTGTTGGTTAAGTGTGGCAAATGATGGGATGTCAGAAATGGAGTTGCTCACTATGGATGCCTCATTAGGGTTATTCATTTGAAGATGAACAACATCGAAAATCGCCTTTCAAAATGAACTTGGATGTCATCAAGAATGAAGTGAATAAGTAAAAGCTGCTTCCTAGGAAATCCGGAAAAATGGATGGCTTGGCCATCCTAGAACCACTTAATTTCTGGTCTTATTTACCCACAGCTATTTATTGATTTCAAACGGCAGACATTTTGGCAATTATCATTAGCCCTTTAGTTGACTTCAGGCATCACAGAAGGAAAGGAACATCTAAGTGGAAAAAAGTCGAGAGGGAGGGGGAACAGAAGAGTGTTTCAAAGATGTAAAAGAGACAGACTGTTACCGCTTTCGATTATCAGTGATTAACAGTGTACCTTTATGACATCTGATCCTCTTGGTTAAAACTTTTTTACAACAAAACATACATTTATAATGGAATGATAAACTTAAATATAGAGCATTTAGAGCCTTTTGACTGCGTTTAGTCGTGTTAAATAATAATCCAATTATTACACATTTTCGCATGTTTCCAGGTATCATCAAATTCTTTTATTCCTTATTTTGAATGAATCAAACCACCAACAGGAAACCAGATACACATTTGAAAGTAATAATTTNGGGGGGGAGGGGGGAGGGGGGTTCTTTTCCCCATATTTACCTAATTTGGTTATAATATCACAAAAGTGGGGTTGCTCGTTCCTTTCTCCCTCCCCCCCTTATGCTTACCTATGTAAATATCTTTCTTGTTAGGGAGGGCAAAAAATTACCCCCTGAACGTGTGACGTAAAGGGAGGGAAATGTCATACACCAAAAGCAGAAAATTTTAAATATCTTTCCCCTCCTTTCTTATTAATGTGTGTGGATTCCCTTCTTCGTTTCTCATAGTAGAATTAGCGTTTCCCACAGTGAAATACGTGTTCTCCTTAACAAAAATGGATTTACGATATGGATCTTAGCATTGAAGCAGTTAGGAGATTCTAATTAGGAAAAAATTGAGTACTTTTAGTGTTGTGGAACTATCTATAGTTCAGAGTTTCTTCCTCCAGCTGTCAATTCTGTCTTGCCCGCGTTTCTAGAAGGATACATCCTAAATGACGCAAATGTCACTTTCCATAAGCACAATTATGAGAAATGACTAATTTATTGCATTCAATTCAGGTAGGTGGTAGATTAATAAAATTGTATTCCTATAGGTTTTTTTTCAAGCATCCTCTTCGTAAAAGGGTTTTTTTGTGTCACTGTGGATATCCACATATTTTAATCAAAATTCAATAATATTATTAGATTTAATGTATGTAGGCTTCCAGGTTATTTCTCATTTATTTACTTATATCAAATGGCAGGCGTCTTGATGGTTGTCATTAGCCCTTTAGTTGACTTCAGGCTTCACAGGGGGAAGGAACATCAAATTGAAAAAAAGTCGAGAGGGGGGAACAGAAGAGTGTTTCAAAGATGTAAGAGACAAACACAAAGGTAGAACAAAGGTGAGGTTAGTACTGTGACATAGTCGAATATATGGTGATGGTGGTTTGAAGTGAGAAGTCAACTGCCAGTCAATAGACTTTTTTGCCGTATGAATATACGTTGCCCAGGGTGCACCACGTGGAGGTAAGTCTATCGCACACCCCAGGTTATTTTTCATAATGTTGGTGGTATTTATTTCTGGATTATTATCAATCTAGAAGCCTCCCCAAGGTATTACAAAAATCACGTTTCACTCTTTATTTGGACGTTTATTCACATGAAGGGGTTGAGATTGGTTTCCATTTCTTGCATTATTGCAAAATAAATTTTAAGCTGAAGTTATGNTCAGAAATGGAGTTGCTCACTATGGATGCCTCATTAGGGTTATTCATTTGAAGATGAACAACATCGAAAATCGCCTTTCAAAATGAACTTGGATGTCATCAAGAATGAAGTGAATAAGTAAAAGCTGCTTCCTAGGAAATCCGGAAAAATGGATGGCTTGGCCATCCTAGAACCACTTAATTTCTGGTCTTATTTACCCACAGCTATTTATTGATTTCAAACGGCAGACATTTTGGCAATTATCATTAGCCCTTTAGTTGACTTCAGGCATCACAGAAGGAAAGGAACATCTAAGTGGAAAAAAGTCGAGAGGGAGGGGGAACAGAAGAGTGTTTCAAAGATGTAAAAGAGACAGACTGTTACCGCTTTCGATTATCAGTGATTAACAGTGTACCTTTATGACATCTGATCCTCTTGGTTAAAACTTTTTTACAACAAAACATACATTTATAATGGAATGATAAACTTAAATATAGAGCATTTAGAGCCTTTTGACTGCGTTTAGTCGTGTTAAATAATAATCCAATTATTACACATTTTCGCATGTTTCCAGGTATCATCAAATTCTTTTATTCCTTATTTTGAATGAATCAAACCACCAACAGGAAACCAGATACACATTTGAAAGTAATAATTTGTTATGTCGAATTGGCTGTAATCCTTTGAACCTCCAGGTCANACGCAAATGTCACTTTCCATAAGCACAATTATGAGAAATGACTAATTTATTGCATTCAATTCAGGTAGGTGGTAGATTAATAAAATTGTATTCCTATAGGTTTTTTTTCAAGCATCCTCTTCGTAAAAGGGTTTTTTTGTGTCACTGTGGATATCCACATATTTTAATCAAAATTCAATAATATTATTAGATTTAATGTATGTAGGCTTCCAGGTTATTTCTCATTTATTTACTTATATCAAATGGCAGGCGTCTTGATGGTTGTCATTAGCCCTTTAGTTGACTTCAGGCTTCACAGGGGGAAGGAACATCAAATTGAAAAAAAGTCGAGAGGGGGGAACAGAAGAGTGTTTCAAAGATGTAAGAGACAAACACAAAGGTAGAACAAAGGTGAGGTTAGTACTGTGACATAGTCGAATATATGGTGATGGTGGTTTGAAGTGAGAAGTCAACTGCCAGTCAATAGACTTTTTTGCCGTATGAATATACGTTGCCCAGGGTGCACCACGTGGAGGTAAGTCTATCGCACACCCCAGGTTATTTTTCATAATGTTGGTGGTATTTATTTCTGGATTATTATCAATCTAGAAGCCTCCCCAAGGTATTACAAAAATCACGTTTCACTCTTTATTTGGACGTTTATTCACATGAAGGGGTTGAGATTGGTTTCCATTTCTTGCATTATTGCAAAATAAATTTTAAGCTGAAGTTATGGAGAAGTTATTTCGCAGTTCTTATGCTTTTACAATTCTGTTTGAATAATTTATTTTGTTTCACCAATTGGGTGGAATATCTAACAGTGCTATTGAATGACTACCAGTTTCTCCAGCCCCTTGAGGGAATATTTGCTTGAATTTTCCCATCTGCAACTCCTCGTTCTCCAGCTTGAAAATGTTTCCTTATCTGTTCGACAAATTTGAAGTGTCCGCAATTTCTGTTTAAGCAGTATTTCATTGGGTGATTTAGCTAGCCAATAATGATTCTCGATTTAGTGCCCATAATAAATCAGTTAGTACTTCAAATGAACTGATATTTCGTTTTGCAGTTTTACTGTGGGAAATGTTTTAATCTTCAAAACGATATCACTTCATTTCACTCTTTACTGCCTATAATTTATTTATTTCTAACTTAATGTCTCCAAGTGGAATTCATATCCTTCGCCTTATCTAGATTTCCGTATGATTCAATTGAGTTGTGGTCGTCCACTTTGGTATATTCACCAACATTTTGGGGGGGG